TAATTAAGAAATTTAGCTAATTTGTGCTCGTTCATGTTCGTTTGTTAAAATGATAAATGAATGTAAGCGAACGAACATAAAATTAATTAGATTTATATTTGTGAAGAGTTTTTCTGTTTTCAAATAATTTTAAGATTTATAATTTCTTTAATTGATTTGAGTATTTTTATTTGGGTTTTAATTAATTAAGTTTCAAAAAATTAAAGGGTTTAAGTTTTTTTATTAGTTCTCACTATTTTAGGCGAGTCTTGAGATTGGGTTAAATATAAAACAACAAATATAAACGAGCATAAATGAACGAACATAAATGAGTGGATTACCAAATGTTCATGAACGTAAATGAACGAACTAACACTTTGTTCATATTTATTCATTTAATTAAACGAACATAAAATCTAATTCATTTATTCGTTTAATAAATAACCAACTTCCCAACATTTGTTTTTCTACATACCTAACATTCCATATTTAATATTCACTACATGATAATATTATCAATTTTGTTAACGTAATTATAAATATTTAAATTTATAGAAATCTAAAAAAATAATGTGTGTATACAGTATTGTGTAGGGCGGCGTTTTTTCCGATATATCACATTTCATTTAATTTTCCTGTCAGGCACCCTTAAGACTATTTTTCCGATCTAACACCCTTTGCAGTAAGGCGCGTCCCTTACAGCGCATCCCTTACAGCGCGCTTTACGCCACGTAGGGTAATAGCGCGGGGCAGGAGCCGCGCCTTAGCTTTAACTAATACAATTATATAAAGCGCGGTTCAGGTACCGCGCCTTGTATAATTATAGCAACTTTTCTCGCTAAAAATATCATTCTCCCCCGGTAAACTCTTCACATCTCCCCTCTCAACTTATAAATTAAAACAATTCCTTCAATGAGTCAATAATTCCAGCAATTTCTCATATTTGATTTAGAAGTTCGTGCGATTTTTCGTTATAAGGTAATTTTGTTATAATTTTTTTATTATACTTATTATTTATTATGATTATTTGAAAAAATATTATACTAATTGTTATATTTTCGTTCATATATTATTCATTTAATCAGGTTTGTTTCAGTTGTTTTTCAGATATAATATTGTCGCACTTTTAAACTCAAAGAATGACGCGGATTTCAGCTATTGTTTATTATGATGGTGAAATTCGAGAAGATGAAACCGGCGTTGTTTTCGTATCAAATGAGCTTGTTAAAATATCATTTAAGAGAAACATAACTCTTGAGGAGCTGATAACGAAGATTTCGAGGAAAATTCATGTTAGAAGTAGTAGAAGAATGTCGTCGTTGCAGTATAGATTTCAAATAATTGTTGCCATTAACTTATACAACGTTCGAACTTTCGAACAATGATGATGTTGAAGTGATGGTTGAATCTCAAAGTAATTATTCAGGCGCCGATATTGAGATGTATGCAAATTTTGTTCAAGTGCGTGTTGCTCGGGGTCAGTCATTAAGCTCTCACTATGGGCTTGCTGAACAAGTTGATCAAGTTGACAGCCCGACGACAGTAATGTATAATGATTTTAATGCCATAATGGGATACATTCATCCACAACTCCTTAAGATATGTACCGAGGTGGGTCAACGAACAATTGTATGGCAACATCGCGTGCAGTTCAAGGGGAAGACATTCATCTGCAAATCCCTTTGACCTTAATATGGACATGCCATCGACGCAATAATCTGTGCACTATCCATTTGACACGATGGCTTCAAGCTCTAGGGGGAGGCATTCGACTGCGAGTTTTTTCGATCTCAATGTCGATATGCCTTCCATTCAAGGGGAATGCGTGCAAGTAGTAGGTTCTTCGACCTAAATGTGGAGAGCATGAAGGAACCATCATCTCCACCAGAAGAACCGCTTCGTGAGCCTGGTGTGGATTATGCTGAGACTGGACTATTCATTCACCCATAATCACCGCAATTCAACTCCGATGATGATGATGTAATGAAGTTCCAAGAAATGTGGCACAAACTGACCCTCCTGCACACATGTATGAAGTTGATTATGCTACAATGTACGGGCCAAATTTACGGATATGCCTCATCTTGATGACTATGGATATTACTCATCAATAAATAATAGTGATTATCTTTAGGCATGGAGTTTTCAAGCAAAGAAGAAGCGATGATGGCTATAAAAAATTATAATATCCGTAATTCTGTTCAGTCCAGAGTCGACCGCTCACGACCGAAAAATATGTATGCTACTGTGCTCAACGCGAAAACGGATGCAATTGGATGGTTCGCGTATCGAAGAGGAAGAGGAAAAACAACAGATGGGAACCAATAGTATACAACGGTCCTCACACATGTTGTGCTGGAGGGGTCAACCAAGATCATCCCAACTTGGACTCTGAAGTGATATGCCAAGTCATCATGCCCATGGTAAAAGCAAGCTCTCATATAGTTGTTGCAGAGTTGATTTAGCTATACAATCGCAGTATGGATACATTGTCTCCTATAAAAAAGTTTGGTTGGCAAAACAAAATGCCATTGTCAAACTTCATAGCGAATGAGATACATCTTACAACGAACTTCCAGGTTGGTTTAGGCTGGTGCAGACACTGAATCCTGGGACAATTGTGGACTTCAAAACCTCGTATGCATACTATAATGATCGAGTTCTACGCGATCGATGCCAATTCTATCGGGTTTTTTGGACTTACCCACATGCATTAATGCTGTCAAATACTGCAAACATGTGGTCCAGATCGACGAGACTTTCTTGTATGGAAAATACAAGCAAGTTTTATTATTGGCAGTTGTCCAATATGGCAATCGCAACATTCTTCCAGTTGCTTTTGCTATTGTCGAAGGAGAATATACAGATTCTTGGGCTTTTTCTCCGAAACTTACGTGCACATGTTATCACGAGGGAAAAAATATGTGTCATTTCAGATCGCGGAGCTGGGATCAAAGCAGCAATGGAGTCATTGGGTCCAATATGACAACCACCCTTTGTCCAACATAGGTATTGTCTCCGACACATTGCTGCGAACTACCATGGAAAGTACAAGAAGAATGATGAGCGTCAATTAATTGTGCGCATGGGTAAGTGAAACTGATGTAGTTTATTTTTTTCGATCATTTTATTTTTGCAAAGAAAGCAAGTTAGTAAGTTATACATTTTTTGATCATGTTACGAACTACTTCCTCGAACGTTTGAATCAATGCTTCAGGATTTGCAGGCGAAGAACGAGGAAGGATACGATTACATCAGCCAAATTACTGGTGATGAAGGATTTGCGGGCGAACAACCAAATTGTCGAGCACGCGATCAGTGAGTGCCACTCGACGATCGCATAACAGATCAAATGGACCATCGCCATCCAAACATCTAATGGGCCCCTCAACTCAGGTGAGATCACCATCCTCACATCATCATTAGAATATGAAACCCATTCAAATTAAAATAAATATATATTTTTATCAAAATAATAATCTAATTATACAACTATAATCTAAAATCAATTTTTAAACATTAAAAGGCATACATATGTGTAAACCTTATGATCGATTAGCACCCTCATTTTTTCTAAATCATCAGGTAGCTCCTGATGATTTTTCTATCAGTAGACCACCTATTCAAGGAATTTTTTTATTATACACTGTATAAAATGATTAATATACGAAATCAGTTTTATAATTACCTCAATAGTAGTGAAATACGAATGAGTTCTTGACAACGGGACATAAAAAGGCAATCGATACCACACCTAATACTGCAGCAGCAGGAGACATCCGCCGATAGCATTTTTTGTGTAGTCAATCGCACGACACATCTCCCTATACAGTAAAGCTAAAACTGCCGAGCCCCAACTGAGTGATCCGGCCAGATGAAAGTCGCCAAGATGTCGCAAACACATACAATGAAATTGGTTGCGCGATTTGTCCGACATCAGCAACCATTCTATCAGCTGCAGTATGCATGCTTGTGCATACATTTTAACTTCATCATCAGAGGCGTCCTCGCTCAACTCCCGATAATTGGCATCTAACCAATTTAATAGTATCCGACCACCGTTAAAACTTTCCAGGACACGTCCTAGATAGTCCCGACATAAAGCAATCCATGAACCGTGCGCCATCCCCGATATCATCTCCATCCACCGGAAGCCCCAGGAACATAGAAACATCCTTAAGTGTAATCGTACACTCTCCGCACGGAAGATGAAATGTGTGGGTCTCCGGCCTCCACCGCTCCACTAAGGCAGCAATAAGGTATGATTCTATCTTACATGACCCTCATATCTACTTATGTGACCGAATTCAGCCTCTACTAAATACGACATGACACGACCAGGTATCACTAACTTAATGTTCCTAATAAAAGGATCTAATATACGATATCTCTTCTAAAATATAAATAATTACAAATATTATTTTTTAAACTAATAATCATGCATTAAATAAATAAATAAATTATTAATATTAATTTAAATTAAATTAAAACGTTAAAATGTTACGTATCAGCAAATTGTCGAGATATATGATTTCCATCCAAGCGAAGCAGACCGCCTTCCATTTTATATATATAAAAAATTAATTAAATACAATATTAAATCATTTAAATACTTAAATAAATTAAATATAAAATATAAAATATACCTTAAACAGAGAATATAAAAGTATTTGAGAGAGGTTTAGAGAAGTTGAGGGAAGTTGAGGGAAGTTGAGAAGATTTGATGTGATAAAAGTGATTGAGGATGGAGGTATTTATAGGAAGGGATAGAGTGTGAACGGTCGGGTAGGTAGGTAATTAAACCTAAGGTGCGTGCAGGGCACACATTTCTTATGCGTGTCAGATTTATAGGTAAGGTGCGGTGTTTATACCGCTTTAACATGTGTATCCAGTCAGCATAAGACGTTTTTCAAAGGTACTACTTACCCCATGTGACGTCAGATGCGTGACTGATAAAATTAAATGAAAAAGTTGATATATCGGAAAAACGCCGTATAGGGCAGGGGTAGCAAGTTGGAAATTACACGAAAAAATCTACCAATTGAGGAGGAGAAAAAAGGCATTGGACAAACGAAAAAAGAAAAAGCAGACTATGGCAAGCACCAGCGCTGCTCTAATATCCCATTTGCGGTTCAACGGAAGCTGCTTCAAGCTCGTTGAGCCAACCAAGACTCAGCTCGAGTTCACCTCTCTCAAATCCAGGCATTCAAGGACAGGGGGGCTGGAATTTGGTGCTTCGCGGAGCAGGAGAGGTTTTGGTACAGTCGTTTGTTTGGCTGCCGTTGACGACGATGCCAAAGAAAACCGGCAACAAGCCTTCAGTAAAACCAGCAGCGCCTCTGCCACCGAAGATAGACCTGGTATCAATCAAATGGAATCCATTTTTTTAAATTCCAATTGCTTGCTCTTCGTGATTTAAAGCTTAGTTTCATTGTTCCTGTTGTTGATTTGCTTTCATTATTTTTTATAACGTTAAAAATTTGCTATAAAACAAATCCAAAGCGTGAATTGCAATTTTCCCCCGATTTTGAAATGAAAGTTTACTTTGATTCCTGTTTAAATAAAATTGAATGTTTGGCATCAAGTTAGATATTTTAACATACTTCAGATGCTTATATATCTGATTTCATATCATTAGAAGCACATGAGCTGCATCTGTTGGATTGTTTTGGAATTATTTCATTTCCTTAATCTAGTTCTCGATTATAATACTCTCAAAGTCTCGATAGAATTTCATGCTTCTACGTAAAATGTAGACATCATTTATTTGATTATGATATAGATGTGGCTAGTATCTCAGCAGAAGAAACACCACAAGGGTCCGAGCAGGATAATGACGGAAGCGCGCTTTATAATTTTCTTTATCCCGATAAAGATCTTCTCCCAGATGATAAGGAAATGACTATATTCGATCATCTCGAAGAGTTACGACAGAGGATATTTGTGTCTGTATTGGCTGTTGGAGCTGCTATCTTGGGGTGCTTTGCATTTTCAAAAGAACTGATTGTATTTCTTGAAGCTCCTGTTAAAGCACAGGGTGTACGATTTCTGCAACTAGCTCCTGGCGAGTTTTTCTTCACGACGATAAAGGTTAGATTGAATGATTTCTTTTGAAGTTCAAAACATTGGATGCAATGTATTTAGTAATAGACTTAACTATGGATTGGGTATTAACATGCACCCTTCTTGCCTTATTTCATGTTTATATATTTATTTTTGGAACCAACTAGTACAACACCATAGGAGATAGTATACCTTTTGTGTGATGTGCAATCAGCTTATCATATTAGGGAAAGCTTTAAAAGTTTCAGATTAAGTTGAGAGTTAATTGCTGTACAGTGTTATACCTGGAAGAATGTGACATTGCTAGTATAGTTTTAATCCTATCCTGCCTGATTAACTTTAACCTGCAGCTGGCTTGCTGTATTAATATTTGCAACTTTGAATTTTGATTAGATAACAAAATAGCCAGAAAACTCGCAAAACTTGATTTAGTTCACGGTGTTCTGCAGGTGTCAGGATATTGTGGCCTTCTTTTAGGAAGCCCTGTAATTCTGTATGAGATCATAGCCTTTGTTCTTCCGGGTTTGACCAGAGCAGAGAGAAGGTTTCTGGGGCCTATTGTGTTGGGCTCCTCGGTTCTTTTCTACGCCGGTCTTGCTTTTTCCTACTCGGTTCTGACTCCAGCAGCCTTAAATTTCTTTGTTACTTACGCCGAAGGGGTTGTAGAATCTTTGTGGTCTATTGATCAGTACTTCGAGTTTGTACTAGTGCTAATGTTCAGCACAGGCTTGTCTTTCCAGGTATTTCCTACTTTTATTGGGGTAACACATGACTAGAAATTAGCCACCATGCATATCTCTATGTTCTCAAGTTCACATATTCAATTTTTCCCGCCATAAGATCTGTCTGATGATTCTCTTAAGCTTTTAGATTTCTGCAACCACGATTTTAGGGGAACCTAAACTGATACTGTCTCGTGCTGAGAACAGACCTTTACCTCGAAGCTTAGATGGTTCCATTTGATTTATCCTGCAGGTTCCTGTCATACAATTTCTTCTCGGACAACTCGGTCTTGTATCGGGGGACCAGATGCTTTCCATTTGGAGATATGTAGTGGTTGGTGCAGTCATTGCAGCTGCTGTATTGACACCATCAACAGATCCTGTAACTCAGATGCTTCTGGCAACTCCACTTTTGGGTCTTTACTTGGGTGGTGCATGGGTTGTAAAGCTTACCGGACGGTGATCGCTTTGCCATTGGAATCTTCAGTCGGGATCGGTCTAGCGGCCGGTGCATCGCAAGCGTGCTCGTTTCGTATATTGTCAAAAATTAGTCATAACAAGATCAGCCTATAAATTATTTGTACCGAATCTGTACCATTATTGTAGAATTTTCTTTTCTCCTCCTACGCTTGAGAAGCTCCATCTCTTGCCCTTGTTGTATATCATATTTTCTCCGAAGGCAGCTTCATTGCATCAATAAGTTTATATATCATTAGTTTAACAAAAACATTGGATTTATAACATAATTAAAATAATTGAGTTTTATTTTGTGTAAATTTATGTGTAGGTTTAAGTTTAGATATATTATACACGAATCTAGCGAGTTCAGTAGTTAAAATATATTTGTTGTTCCTAAATGTTTTGAGTTCGAGCACTAACGACCGTATAATATTTGAGTTTTCATTGTTAAATGATTGAAAGTATTTAAATAATTATCACTTATAACCACTCTAGATTAATAAAAAGGTTTAAATATATTATGATAAGAATTTTATTATATGTGAGATTTGTTCAGTTTTTTAAGAGTTTGAATATATTTCAATTATCGATCCATTTAAACATTGGGATAATCGATTCTAATTTTGGTTAATCGGAATATATTGCTCATAATGATGATTATTTGTACTTATAACCACTTTGAATTTGTATAGTTTTTTATAGATCAAATCAACTTTTTCTTCTTTGATTTTTATAGTCGACGGTGGCACCGGCTTCGATGTTGGTTGCCGACCTCTGATTCTCTTTTCTCTTTATTTTTTCTTTTGTTTTTTTAATAAAAGTAATTCCATCTGTTGTACGTTTATCTATGTTTTTATGGTACTTTTATATCTACATTTGTGGCACGTTTTTCAATTTTTTTGGGTCGTATGTCCGTTCTTTTATTTATATTTTCTCAGGGTTGAATTTGACGTCGCCACAACTGATCAAGATGACGCTTATTCAAAGTCTTGTTGATGACCTTTGAATTGAATTTAGATGCTCGATTTTGCGCATGAGAATAGTTTCTCACGATGCTCGACTCTAATATGCAGTTATTGGTGGTATTTCAATAGTTTAATTCTCTTTTGTGGTTCGTTTACCGATGCAATCATATTTATTCGTATCTATTTTAGTCTCTTCATTGGGTTTTTAACCTTTCTCATGTATTTAGTTTACGATTACGATGATAGTTGTAAACTTTTATTGTAATTTTGCATATTTTTTATTTTTTTAATAATACTAGCGGCTATTCAATAAAAAATCAACATGAAAATTCAATCATGTGAAGAAAAATAAAATTTTTTATTGAATACGCTTCATGTTTAAAAAAAAACTAGCAACTATCAATAATTCATTTTTTTTTTGTACTTAAAACTAGACATAATATTAATGTAGACATAGAAACCGAAACCGAGAGAAATAATCTAATAAATTGCTCCGCAAATAATTTTGAATGCATTGATAAACTATCACAAAAGATGATTTAATTATACAATACCGTCAACCTTTTATTATCAAGAGGTGCTCCGTGATGAATATAACACGAAATGTCAAACTATCATAACGATATACAAAATCGTGTCTTAAAAGTAAACAAACAACTATACCATAAAAACATATAAAAACAATCGCTTCAAGAATATGCAAAAAAAAAATCAAAACATGATGATGCTTATTTAAATTTAAATAAAAAAATTAAGTAAAACTAATAATAATAATAAGGAAATGAGAGGCGACGGCGTAGATGACACTTTGAAACCATTTATTATTAAATCCGAATATTATTTTCAGAATTTACACTAATCAAATTATTTATGAGATATTTAATTGTAATAAAGTAAAATGGATAATAAGTTCGAATATCAAAGTATATTACAAATTCAAAAGATCCAATACCTTAGATAAAGTGATACAATAACATATGCATCAACGTTATATCCATAGTCGGATAAAAGAAAAAGGATGGATCATTCACCAAACTAATATAGAACTTTATACATTCGAAATATTGATATTCATGGGTGATTTCCAACTCTGAATTAACCATTGAAGGTTGAATTACCTCTCATGAAATCGGATTTCGGGTTTACGGAGGTGGATAAGTCGACATATCGGAACGGAAGAAATAGAATTCAGACCTCGACGCCGCCGACCATGGCGGGTTCGGAGAAGAAAAGGCGTGCGATGAAGCAGGGCTGAAAAGGAAAGCGAAAGCATCGAGGAAGAGGAGGAAGATGGTGGTGATGGGTGCCATTTTTGAACTTCGACATAGTTTAACGGTTTGATGGAATTATATTTGTCTACATTTTATAATAGTCTCTTGTAGGGCCATTGGAAATGGTAGTTTTGTAAAATAGTAAAGTTGGAGGTAATAATTAGTATTTTCTTGGAATGGGAATCTCTTTTTTAAAGAAAATAAGTTTTTATTAAAATTAGACATGTAAAATAATAAAGTTAGGGTAATAAAGTTGTCTTTTTTGAGGAACATTGAAATGACCATCCAACTCAGTTGGTAGAACACAAAGTTCTTAATCTTGAGGTCGTGGGATCGAGTCTCATGGAGGGTATTTCATAATTTGGAGGTCTCCTACGGAAGTTGCTCTCAACCTAGTGTTGGGGGCAACCTACTATCTTACCTCCCCCTTACCCCATTACATATGGGAACAATGGACAGCCATTTTTTTTCTTTGAGGAACATTCCAGTAAAATATAAAGGGGTGTTTGGCAAATAATTGATAGCTGATAACTGATTATAATAGTTGGTTTGATTAATTGATGTGACTAATTAATTTGAAAAACTAATTTAATTAATTGTTTATATAGAAGTGTTTGATAAAATTTAACCGATAATAATTGATAGGTGATATGAGTAAAATGATAAATAAGTGTATGATATATTTAGTTGATAAGTATATATATGTTTTATAATACTTTAGTCTTTATTATGGTGAAATTATTCAGTAAAATATTTTTGACAATAAATTAAAAAATTCTTTAAAAAATATTGAATATTTTTAAAAATTTTGAATGTATTTTTAAATTTAATATTTACAAATATTAACCTTGTGATATGATACATATTATTACCCTTGTACAAAATATATATACTACATTTTTTCTACTTTCATGTTTTGCTATATTTTCTTAATTAAAATATATTTGAGAATCTACAATTAAAAAATAGAATAATAAAATAAAATTTCACTAAAATATATTAGGATGGAGGCTATTTCATTATATTAGGTTTTATAGCAAGGATGTAATTATGAAAATAATAAGGTCAAATATGTCATTTAATATCTTATTTTGCAATAAACTCTCCCAAACCGCTGAATTTTCCAACGTTTTCATTTTTAACTTATTTTGCACAATAAACTCTTTAAAAAATGTGTTTATCAAACACTAAAAATAGAGTGTTTGACTAGCAATAAGCTATTTATGCTCAATTAAGTTAAAAGCTCTTCAAAAAGTTATTTACAAAACACCCCCAAAGTGAAATTGATAGTACGAGTATTCGATTAAGTTGAGTAAAAAAATAACAAAAAAGCATAAGAGATTCTTATACTTTAAAAAAATTAATGTGACTCTCGTGTTATTTTCTCTTAATGTGACTTTTTAACTCATAAAATATTCAATGTGATCCTTTTATCAAAGTTTTTTATTGTTGACCGTTACGGTGCTGATGTGACAGTTCACAGTGCTGACATGATGATCCACAATACTGACATGACAATCAACGATGGTTGATAACGTAGTGATGACATATCAGATGGGCTAAATTGGTAACTCAAACATGGCGATGGACTGCCACATCAATATTGTGGACAGTTGCGTCAACACCACAATGATCAACGATGAAAAACGTTGTTCAAATGGTCACATTGGGTTTGTTTCCTATGTTGGAGGGTCACATTGAAAGAAAAATAATATGAAGACCACATCAATTTTTACAAAAGTACATAGATTTCTGATATTTTTTACCAAAAATGATTAATTAAATTTATAAATATTATTTATTATTATGAAATTAAATTAAATTTATGAAAATCAAATCAAATCAAATAATTATCTTCTTCTCCAGTTCCATTGTATCATCATCTAAGGCAGCTGCTACCTGAATCTATTGCAGGCCTAGCTTACCAAGTAAACATGTAGACAACTTGTCATTGTTAAATCCCTCGCCTATTAAAAGTTACAAAATAGGTACTTGATTATTCATTATGTTCCAAACTTGTCATTTTTCGTTAAAAAAATTGACGGTATTCTGAGCTAAACGTCAGCTTGTTGGTTGTGATATAATAAAGTCAGATCCTAAAATCTCAAATGACTATCATATCTCAGTCATCATGTTAACATCTAGCTTGGACAACCACAAATTGTTTAACAAAAAAGGACGATTTTGGAACATAATTAATAGTCGAGTGACCATTTTGTAACTTTTAATAGTCGAGGGACTCAACAAAGCAACACTCTGTAATCGCATGACCATTTTATAATTTTTAATAATCAAGAGACTTAATAAAATAATATCCTACAGTTAGAGGACCGTTTATATATTTTACCCTAAAAAAAATATCAATTTATTTGGACTAATTAAGTGCCGACACATATACAATTTCTACATCGCGCAAGCATATAAATAAATTAATTAATTAATATAATATGCTCATCTAATGATAATTAATTGTTGATGCAAGTGTCTCATCTGTTGCTTACTTGTCCCTCATTATATTCCGATACTGAAAATTATGTTATATTATCTTTTCTGATATTGGGGATCACGTCTCCTTGAATAAAATAATAACACTTGTTTCACAATTTAATAAAAATAATAATGGGGCTTAATTATAGAATAAGTGTTCAAACTATATTTTTTTCATAAATAGGTGTCCAATTTTTTTGAACGACCAAAGTGTCTAATGTTACAAACGTTATTACTTTAGGTGTACAGGTCGTAAATTTTCTCCCACATATCACATTCAGGTAATTTTAAAATTTTTATTTAAAATTTAAAATTAAGATTATATTTAAGAAACACACAAATTTTGGGAAATCCCAAAACTTTAAAAACCCTCATTTCAACCCTTAAACCCATGCCGCTCACTGCTCTTTATTGTCGACGAAGTTCCACCCACCCTCACCTCCCCAGACTATCATTAATACTATGAAATCAAGACCAATTGACTACCAATCAATATTTTGTACCCCGCAAATCCTAGGCTGAAAATCACGACCTCACGTGATTCCGACGGCCAATCAGCGGTAACTATGATGGCGTATGTCTAGGAAGATGGCAGAGACTACGTTGTCGGCGATGGTTGTGACCGACAGTGATAAGTTAGGTTTTGGAATGATTTGATTTTTTTGTAATTTAAGAGAAATTAGGGTTTTTTTATAAATATAATAATTTTTTAAAAATTAAAATTATCAGAATGTGACACGTGTCACTTAATGGAGAAAATTAACAACAACTAAGACTCGAACACCTAAAGTAATAACGTTTGTAACGTTAGACACATGTATCATTCAAAAAAAAATTTAGATACTTATTTGTAAAAGGCGTTATAATTTGAGTACTTATTTTATAATTAAGCCAAACAATGGATCGTACGTAAGTTGAGGAAAACAAATTTTTTATGATTTATAAAAGAAATAAATAAAAATAAACATGAAAGAATATATTTTAAATAAATATTATTTTACTAAATATATATTTTAATCCTTAAACTATGATTTTTATTATGATTTTTATTTTTAAATTAATTAAACATTTAATAACATCGTCATTTTAATCTTAATATTGCATCCAAAACTTATGGACAAATGACGTGTCTAATATCTAAACTATATATTTTTTTGTTTTAGTATTTAAATTTTTAATTTTTTTTAAAATCATATATAACTTCTAGTTTTTATTTTTATTTTAGTACATTGCCGTTAAAACTTAACGAGTGATCTGCAAGTGGCACGTTTTTATTGGTAAATTGCACCATTAATCACTCAATTATCTTCTCACCCTTATTGGGTCACTAAAGTTTAGTTTTTTTAATTTAATTACTTAATTTTTAAATTACTCCTAATTCAATCACTCCAACCTTCAAATTTTATCTATTTTTATTTTTAATTATATTTTAATAAAAGAATAATAAAAATTATCATGTCACAAAAATTATTAATAAAATAAAATAGAATTATCAAGATAGGAGAGATTTAAAAGTTGAGTAGTTAACTTGAAAATAAGAGTGAAAAGATAGTTGAGTGATGAATGATGTAATTCACCTACAAAAAATGCAGTGCTATTAAGTCTTTATCGATGAGGTACTAAAATAAAACAAAAATTAAATATTAGATATATTTTCTAAAAAAATTAAAAATTTAAGTATCAAAACAGATTAAAAATAATAATTTAGATATTAAACGCGCAAATTATCCAAAATTTAATTAGATGTTCAAAGTCAACGCAAACGCAGCAAGATCCCGGAGAATTTTCAATCTTTGCGCCTTTTATTATAAAAAAATATAGTTAAAAGCTGGCAAATCGTTGCTCGGCTTCGACTTTCACGTGGCAAGAACTACAAGTCCAAGAACATATGAGAACTGTGATCCAACTGTCAATAAATATTCCTCTGAATCGGCTTACTTTATAACCCGCCTTCTGCCATTGCCGGTTGCTCATCCGATCCGCCATCTAAAACTGCTGATACCAATAGGATTCATCAAGCATGGCGGCAGCTTCCAGGATCTCTTCATTGCTTTCCCGTTCATTGGCTTCCTCAACCTCTTCTTCTCTGATCTCCAAAGGTATGTTGATTTGAATCGATTACTTCCTCTGCAATGAATTTACTGCCTAATAATATTGAAAATTATTGTTCTTTGATTTCAGGGAGGATCTATGGAGTGGGGAGATCAGTGGTTTGTGGCTACACCACCGCTGCTGCTTTAGAGAAACCGATTACTCCTTCGGTCAAAGTGACCTACACGAAGCTTTTAATCAATGGAGACTATGTTGATTCAGCTTCAGGCAAAACTTTTCCGACGTATGACCCCAGGACTGGAGATGTGATTGCTCATGTTGCTGAAGGTGATGCCGAAGATATAAATCGAGCAGTTTCCGCAGCACGCAAGGCGTTTGATGAAGGACCCTGGCCAAAGACGACTGCTTATGTAATTAACAGTCTTTTACTTCCTCTGTCATATACAATAAGCTATCTTCAACCCTGCTAAAATTTGTTTTTGTTGTTTTCCAGGAAAGATCAAGGGTATTATTCAAATTTGCTGATCTTATTGACCAACATACTGAAGAACTTGCTACACTTGAGACTTGGGATAATGGGAAGCCATATGAACAAGCTGCTAAGGTTGAACTGCCGATGATCTCCCGCCTGATCCGATACTATGCTGGTTGGTAAAACATCTGAATTTGTACTGTGTTCTTGTCTTCTTTATATGGATTAGTGTTTGACACAGTGTGTTTTTTGGGTTATTTAGGTTGGGCAGATAAGATTCATGGTCTTACAGTTCCAGCTGATAGTCCCCACCTTGTGCAAACCATACATGAACCAATTGGTGTTGCTGGTCAAATTATTCCATGGAATTTCCCTCTTCTCATGTTTGCTTGGAAGGTTGCACCTGCCTTGGCATGTGGCAATACCGTCGTCGTTAAGACAGCGGAGCAGACTCCGTTGTCTGCTCTTTATGCCGCCAAGCTACTTCAGGAGGTACTTTTTCTTTTCGTATCGATTTCTCGCTTCGGAAACATGAACAATCGGATTGATTATTGATTCCTCATTCTAACTTGGAATCATTTTCACAGGCTGGGATTCCTGCAGGTGTTGTAAATGTGGTTTCAGGTTATGGTCCAACTGCTGGTGCTGCTCTTGCCAGTCATATGCAAGTCGATAAGGTACTTTACATCGTTAAAAGAAACTACAAAGTCCTAGAGTAATTCATGTTCTGTGTCATTTTAAATGCTACTGTCAATTTACAGCTTGCTTTCACTGGATCAACTGAAACTGGAAAAATTGTCCTTCAATTGGCTGCAAAAACCAATCTTAAGCCCGTAACATTGGAACTTGGGGGAAAATCGCCTTTCATCGTATGCAAGGATGCTGATGTTGACAAGGCAGTTGAGCTGGCTCACTTTGCTTTGTTCTTCAATCAGGTAATGTCCGATGAAATGCACCGAAATCAGTTTAGGAATTGGGTTCCTTTTTATCGACACTGGTTATAAACCATTTGTAGGGACAATGTTGCTGTGCTGGTTCTCGTACATACGTACACGAGAGTGTGTACGATGAATTCTTAGAGAAGGCGAAGGCGCGTGCATTGAAACGTAGCGTCGGCGATCCATTTGTAGCAGGTATTGAACAAGGTCCTCAGGTAAATCAACCACCAACATATAGAGCCTTCTGTATTCTCTCATGGTAGCTACCAGCTAGCTGTACTTACACTGATGCATACTCGAATCAGATTGATTCAGAACAATTCGAAAAGATCATGAAGTACATAAGATCAGGCGTCGAAAGTGGAGCAACCCTCGAAACCGGTGGCGAGAGGATCGGAGACAAGGGCTACTACATTCAGCCCACCGTTTTCTCCAACGTAAACGAAAACATGTTGATCTCAAAGGATGAGATATTCGGTCCAGTACAATCCATCCTGAAATTCAAGTGAGCAAAATCATCCCGCTTGCCCTATTGAACAAATTTAACGTGACCAGTGCTGATAATAGTAATTACTTCCCCTTAATCGCAGGGACATCAACGAGGTTATCCGGAGGGCGAACACGACCACTTATGGGCTGGCGGCCGGTGTGTTCACGCAGGACATAGACACGGCGAACACGTTGACACGAGCATTGAAAGTGGGAACGGTCTGGGTGAACTGCTACGATGTGTTCGATGCGGCTATCCCGTTTGGTGGGTACAAGATGAGTGGACAGGGAAGAGAAAAGGGTATTCACTGTCTTAGCAATTACTTGCAAGTCAAGGCAGTAGTCACCCCCTTGAAGGATCCGGCATGGATCTAAAATTTGTTCCGCCACGAGTCTTTTACGTTACTGCATCTGTTTCATTACCTGGCGGAAATAAAGAGAGAAAATTGTGGGGGAAATAATTATAATTAAGCCAAGAGTGTGAGTTTATCATAGCTTAATTCGAATGATTTAAACAATTTGAGATCATATTCAGGGAAAGTCGCTCCCTTGAAAATTTAAAATTATCATATATTTTATAAATTTTCTATGTTTTTTCTATTGAAAATTAGTTTTCGATTCGTCCTAAAATTTTATAAGTCCAAGTTCGCTCCCCTGAAATATTAAAAGTTTAAATTCGACCCTAACATAAAATCTTGTGTCCGTCTCTTGTTATTTATATTATATTTTTCAAAAGAAAAGGTAAATATTAGTGTAATAAAAGATGACTTAATCAATTTCCTTTGAACTATGGAAAATTTCATATGTCGAGAATAGATAGGTATTATATAGGAAAAGATAAAATGCATGAATGATAATAATATATGAGATCTTATTCTAATTTAGAAATGATCATCCAGCTCAGTTGGTAGAGCGCAACCTTGGGATCGTGGGATCGAGTCCCACGGAAGTCATTTCATAATTTGGAGGTCTCTTACGAAAACTGTTTTCAACATGGCGTTGGGAACAACCTACTATCCTACCTCCCCCTTAACCATTACATTTGTGAATAAGGGACAACTAATTTATTATTCTAATGTTAGAATATCGAAATCTTTTCACTGTAAATAAAATATTTTAAATTAATAGAAATTTAAAAACTAATGTAGAGAGATAAAAGAAAATAAGCTTAAAACGAAAAAGAAATTTAAGAACAAAAAATTACTGGTCAAATAAAAAATGATCAATTTATTTAGTTAAAGACAAAGTTATAGAATAATTTTTAATTATTTAAAATTTAAAATTTAAACTCAAAATTCGAACCAATAATATGAGTAGACTAAAATAACTTAAAAATGTCAAAACTTAAAAATAAATTATTTTCTCAAATCATATAAATTTGTATTTTTCCCTTATATTAATAAACATTTTTTTAATCCCACTAGACCTAATTTTGATATTTCTAAACTAAACAATGAGCACGTTCTACATCTGGCCTATATTTAGTAAGGGTAAATTACAAATCTGGTAACTAAACTTTACCTTTTCTCGTATTTCACTCACTGTACTTTAAATATTTTTAATTTCTTCACTGAACTTAATATATTAGGTTTTTTTGTCATTCGACCGTTAAATAGTTAATGACGATAAAATGAGTTATTAGTAGATGCAAAACGACGTTGCGTTAGTGAAAAGTTTATTTCTTTAAAACATCATTTTTATGTCACTAACTATTTTGGTGACTAAAGTAGGAGAGAGAGTAAAATGCAATGATAAAAAACGAACTCAAAGTATTATGTTTAGGCAGGAAGTTGAAATCTTTTAAAGTTAAGTGATCAAAATAAGAGAGAGTTAAATGTTCAGTGATAAAATTTGAAATTTACCCTTATAGGTTGCATAAGAGAGGTAAAGACGAGGACGGAATAATTATTGAAGCAGGTTACAAAACGGCGTCACATTTGCCACACTGGAAATATCCCCTTAAATTCTCTATCCACATTCCCACCATACCCGTTTTTGGGGAAACTGTGATTCAAGTTTAGTTTGCATTTATTCTAAATTTAAAGGAAAAAAAAAACTCTCCGAATGGGTTTCTCCGGTGCATCCACGACCGACGGAGGCCCAGAACCCGACACCGAGTCCGTCCTCCTCCTCCGCCAATCGCCGAAGCAGGAGGATAGATTCAACTTGGCCTACATCATCTACTTCACTTTAGGCGTCGGAATCCTCCTCCCATGGAATTCCTTCATCACCGCCGTCGATTACTTCTCCTACATCTACCCGGAAGCTTCGGTGGATCGTGTATTCGCCGTCTCTTACATGGTGGTCAACCTCTTCAGCCTCGTCATCATTGTGTTATATGCTCACAAGAGTGAAGGTTACGTGCGGATCAATGTTGGTTTGGTCCTATTCGTGGTTTCCCTCCTCATCGTGCCTGTCATGGATGCGGTTTATGTAAAGGGTCGGGTCGGGTTGTATGACGGTTTCTACGTTACCGTCGGGGTTCTCGCTTTGGCAGGTATATCAGATGCGCTTGTTCAAGGTGGGCTCTTCGGGGCGGCTGGGGAACTGCCGGAACGCTACATGCAGGCCATTGTTGCCGGATCCGGCGGTTCTGGTAATTCAACAAAGACCCCCCTTTTTTTAGTAATTATAGATATGGATATTGATTTAATTATTTGATCTCATGAATGCTTGAAAGTTGGATTAGTGGATTAGTACTTAAAAAGTCATTACTTAATTGCTAAGGAACTTGTTCATTGATTACTTGAGAGCTGAGAAATTGAGCTGTTTTGTTTAACTTAATAGTAACCTTACTAGTGGTTTGTCGACCATAACTTGGTTGTTTTCAAGGTATGTTTCACTGTTACAGCACAAAGTTCGCCCCGGTTCGTCGGATACCTAATAAAGCTCCCGATTAATCCTTAGTTACTATGAACTCTGAATCTGTTTATATGCAGCACTGTGCTGCTTCTTGTTATTAACCGGGGGTGATACTGATTAGTGATAAATATTGCATCTGATGCAATTTTTAATTTGTCAAATTGTTGGCTTCAGGGGTCCTTGTTTCACTGCTGAGACTCCTAACCAAAGCTGTATTTCCACAAGATGCTGATGGCCTGAGAAAAAGCGCATATCTTTACTTTTTCACTAGCATTGTGTTCATGGTTATATGCATAGTCTTGTACAATGTGGCACACAGACTTCCGATTATGAAGTACTATGAGGAGTTGAAGACCGAGGCTGTTAAGGAGGAAAATGTGGAGAAAGGTCCGATTACCGGGCCTGTTTGGAGAGCAACCTTGTGGAATATAGTAGGAACAGTCAAATGGTATGGATTTGGGGTCGTTCTCATATATCTTGTGACTTTGGCTATATTTCCAGGATATATCACAGAAGACGTGCACTCGTTGATTCTCAAAGACTGGTATCCAGTCCTCCTAATTATGTGCTTCAATGTGTTTGACCTGGTTGGCAAATCGTTGACCGCTGTCTACCTCCTTGAAAATGCAAAGGTTGTAATTTATGCTTGTGTTGTGAGGTTACTGTTCTTTCCCATCTTCATAGGCTGCTTGCACGGTCCTCGGTTCTTCCGGACAGAGATTCCCATCTCGTTACTAACTTGCCTTCTAGGGCTAACTAACGGCTACTTGACAAGTGTGTTAATGATCATGGCTCCCAAGACTGTTCAGATACAACACGCCGAGACTTCCGGCATTGTTATGGTTTTGTTTCTAGTTGTTGGTCTGGCATCAGGATCGGTCATAGCCTGGTTCTGGGTCATCTGATATTCAAGCTTTTTCTTCCTTTCGGATTCCATGTACAGGTGATCAACATAAACTTCTGTTAATGGTGCTTTCATCTTTGTAAAGGTGACAAAAAACTTGTAAAATTTTATGATAAATGCTGTGCAATGCATGCATAACTGCTCTCGTAGTATGTCTGTGCCTTAAAACCGTATGATGTATCAAATGTTCTGGAAAATGAATATGGGCTGTTTCACCGGAAAACAAATTTCTGGACATATTTATTTATCCATATCATGTTCACATATTTTACGTCAATTTACTTGGAAAACATTTGCACTATACCAATCTAAGTTTTAAGGGAAAAAATATTGGGAAAAATGAGAAACGAACGAAGACTCTCTGGGCGCACGTTAGCAGGTCTAATGATCTCTCAGATTTTCTTCCTTGCTTTTAATTCTTGTTCGTTCTCACTATTCGGGGGTATTCTTGATCTGTTGCTGGAATGGAATCGGGTTCCTTGAGTCTGGATTGGAAGGATTTGTTCGTGGGTTCGAAGGACCAGTCTCTCGACTTTTTTCCCTGAGCTAAAGGATGGAGTGGCTACTGTTAAGCCTCCGCCTGGTGATTGATGAAGGAATTGCATACTGGAATCATGCTCTGGTGGGTCAATTTATCGGATCGACCCCGAGCTTTGGATCTATGCAACGAATAATCGAAACGATTTGGGGAAAAATCTTCCCAAGTTAAGGTTAGTCTAGCTGGCCCTAACCTTTATGTTTTTTCGTTCTTGGATGTTGGTTTGAGGGACTGTGTTCTGGAAAATGAACCTTGGCATGTCCAAAATAAGCCATTAGTCTTGAGAAATTGGTTGCATGGTATGCAAAAACTTAGTTTTGACCTCTCATTTATGTTGATTTGGGTATAACTCTATAATGTTCCATTAGAGCTCTATTCTTAGAAGGGACTAAGTTACATAACTAGTGCCTTAGGTAACCCTTTGTATATGAACTCTATAACAGTTTCAAAAGAGAGACTCGAATTTGCTAAGGTGTGTATGGAGATTGAAGCTGGAGCTGTTATTCCAAAATTCATTCATGTTATCTTAAAGGATGGGTCATATGTGAGTGTGAGGGTGCATGTACCTTGGTTACCCAAATGTTGTGCTAAAGGTAAATCATTTGGGCACCATGTTAACTCGTGTACTGAGGCTAGACAGCCTACTTAAAAACTTAAAGAGGTGCAAGTCTGGAGGAAGAAGGATATGAAGGATATAGAACATGTTAGAAAGGAAACCTTGCCAGTTACTGCTATTGCTAGTATAAGGACAACTGAGTTTGCTAATACTTCCAAGGAGATGAACCAATGCCCATACATTTTTTCTGGCAGTGGAAACAATTCTAAGGAATTACAAGTGGGCAATGCTATGGAGACAACAGTGCATGCTTTGCAAGAGGCCAATGAGCCTAATTTGGAGGATGCCATGAAGCATGCTGTTAATTCTTCAAAGAATACCACTGTGACACAGAATATGGAAGATTCAGATTCAAGTGAGCATGTGAAGGCTCTTGCTGAAGAAGATATTGCTGGTAACCATTTACAGGAAATTATCCATTATGGTGAATTTCCTTCCCTTCAGGACTCTTTAAAGAAGAAGCCAAAGGAGAGGAAAAAAGAGGTTACTGACTCTTCAAGCAAAATGAAGATTGTGGCAGAGGGTATTAGGAAAGCCCGAGTGGCTTCTATGGGGGTAGCCACGCTGCTTAACGAGATAAAAACTAAAAAGAAAGATCACCTTGAGAAAGCCAGGAGTACTGTGGTGAATTTGAGCACTGACAGTAGTGCTCAGCTTGCTTCATCTTGATGATTGTCAGTTTCTGGAATGTTAGGGGGATCAACAATCCCCTTAAACAGCTGAAGGTGTTAAAGAGATTAGATTCTCGTGGAGTGGATATTTTTTGTTTGATGAAATCTTGCATTAGAAGAGAGAGTTTTGCTAATTTTACTTCTGCACTGTCTGGAGATTGGTGTTTTGCTGAGAATTATGATTTTGCTGAAGGAGGCAGACTGTGGATCTTTTGGAGGAAGCATCTACCATTCTCTGTCCTGAGATGTTGTGATCAGGCTATTTCTATCATGGGGACTATTACTGCTGTCTATGACAGAAACAATGGTGTTGTTAGAAGGAGTCTTTGGGAACACTTAAGTATTGTTGAGAATTACATTGGTTCCTCCTTTTGACTAATTGGGGGACTCTAACATCATTGCTAAAGCTGAGGAGAGCTCTGATTTTGATTTCACGAGAGTCCATTGCACCTCTGATATAAAGGACTTTCAAGATTATATGGAGGGTCTAGAGCTTATGGATCATCCATTCCTTGGACCTTTATTCACTTGGTCCAATAAACAAGAAGTTTCTTATTTAGCCCTAAAGTTGGACAAAATTTTAGTTAATGATCAATGGCTGATGGATTTCCCAAAATCTTTTGTTGAATTCAAAGCCTAGGGAGTCTCTGATCACTGCCTTGGATTACTGTGGACACACAAGGGAGTTATGACCAAGAATCCTCGGCCTTTCAAGTTTTTTAATTGTTGGACTGGCCATGAAAAGTTTTTGGATACTGTTAGGGATTCTTGGCAGGGCCAATGTGGTGGATCTGCCATGAGCTGTATGTTTAACAAGATGAAAAGACTTAAGCCTCTAATTAAGGAGTTTAACTTGGAGTATTTTTTTGATATTTCTGGTAGAGTCAAAAATAAAAGGGCTGAATTGGAGCAAATCCAAATTTTTAACCTGGCTCACACAAATCAGAGGATGATTGATGAAGAAATGAAGATTCGTGCTGATTTAGTGGACTTGGAAGTTGCTGAATCTTGTTTTTACAAATAAAAAGCCAAGGTTCATTGGCTAAGGGAGGGAGACTTGAATACCAAGTTCTTTCACCAGAGGGTTCAATCTAACAAGAAAGGGAACACTATAAGAGTCATTAAAGGTGAGGATGAGCAGAGCTATGACTCATGTGAAGGAATAGCTGCTGAATTAGTGGGTTACTTCACTAATCTCATTGGCTCTCCTGACCCTTTAGTTAAAGGGTGCTCAGCTGAAAACTTGAAAGATTTGCTGAATTTCTCTTTGCCTGAAGGAGCATATATCTTACTTACTAAGGAGGTGAGTGATATGGAGATCAAATAGGCCCTTTTTAGACAAGGAAATGACAAAAGCCCAGGCCATGATGGTTACACTTCTGGTTTCTTTAAAGTTGCTTGGGACTTTGTTGGCAGTGACTTTGTTTCTGCTGTGAGGTATTTCTTCCAAACATCTTGCTTACTGCCTGCTTTTAATTCCACAACCTTAGTTTTGGTCCCCAAGTCCTTAAATGCATGTTTGGCTAAGGAATTTAGACCTATTTCTTGTTGTTCAGTGGTTTACAAAACCATTACTAGAATCTTGTTAATAGGCTTACACCTTACTTTCCTGGCATGATTTCCCATAATCAGTCAACCTTTGTCAAGGGTAGGAGTATAGTTGATAATACTCTGTTAGCTCAGGAGAGTGTGAAAGGATACTCTAGGAAAAGCCTTTCTCCTAGATGTGCATTTAAAATTAACTTGCAGAAGGCTTTTGATTATGTTAATTGGGACTTCTTACTGACTGTTCTTGGGGCAATGGGATTTTCTGATGTTTTCTGCAACTGGATCAAGGTCTGCATTACTACCTCAATGTATTCTATTTGTTTGAATGGCAGCTTGGTGGGGTATTTCAAGGGGGCAAGGGGAATTAGGCAAGGAGACCCTTTATCCCCTTATCTTTTTTCATAATGATGATTGTCCTATCCTCTCTGCTGAATATTGCTGCCAAACATGGAATTTTTAGATTCCACCCCAAATGTAAAAGAATCTCCCTAACTCATATTTGCTTTGCGGACAACCTATTAGTTTTCTGTTATAGCTCTCTTGAATCTGTGCTAGGTGTCCAGAGCACCCTAGAGAGATTTTATGAATTATCAGGTCTTAAATTAAATGCACTGAAGTCTGAATTTTTCGCATGTGGCTTAAATGAGAATACTCTTGGCCTGATATAATCAGTTACTGGATATAGGGTGGCACAACTCCTTGTTAGATATCTTGGGGTGCCCCTAGTAACTCGTAAACTCACTGGAAATGATTGTGCTGCTCTATTGGTGAGAATTAAAGACAAGCTAAGTCAATGGTCCAACAAGAAACTTAGCTTTGGGGGTAGGCTACAACTGATCAAAACTATTCTGTTTAGCATCTTTAATTATTGGAGCAGTCAGCTCATTCTCCCCAAGGGGGTCGTTAAGGACATTGAGAGGCTTTGCATGCGTTTTTTCTAGAAAGGCAGTGATACCTCAGCCAGAGGAGCTCGTGTAGGCTAGAATCAGATTTGTTCACTAAAGTCTGAGGGTGGCCTGGGACTTAGAGATCTTTCTCTGTGGAGTAAAGCTTGTTGCTAATAAAGAATATTTTGGCTAATGATGGCTCAATTTGGATAGCATGGATACAAGAGTATTTCTTCAAAAATGTGAGTTTCTGCAAGGTTGATTGTAAAGCCCACTTCAGTTGGATTTTAAAAAAGTTGTTGAGGCTTCGAGAGGTGGCTAGAAGATTGTTTTTTCCTTGTGCTAATTGGGGGCCTAATTAGAAGCAAATGTGTAACATCCTCAATACCAGGTTAGTGACCAAATTGTAAAATTTCAGAAATTGGTGATTAATTAGGATAAATGAATAGTTTAATGATTTATTGGAAATATGATTAAGGTTATTTAGTAATTATTGAATGAAATAGAGGGTAAAATAGTCAATTGACATGGAAGATTTTATATTCCTTTTATAAGATAAGGAACCACGTGGGAAAAGAGAGAATTATCCAGAGTCTTCTTTCTTCTTCTTCCTTCTCCCGTATCTCCAAGCTCAAAGGTGAGTTTAATTTCAGCTGTTTAATTCTTGGATTTATACGTTGATTTTGATTCTTTGAGTATTATATAAGCTTAAGGAAAGCTTATATAAGCTTAAGGAAAGCTTATATAAGCTTAAGGAAAACTTATATAAGCTTTAAACATCAAGAATATAGAATTAAAAAGAAAATTATATGAAGGGTGTAGAAATGGACTTTTGTTATAGAAAGGTTTTTGAAGTTCTAAAGCTGGATTTGACTTGTCAAGGGTCTAATTAAGAAGTTAGAAGCAATTGAATGGAATTTGGAACATGTTAGAAATTGAGTATGATTCTTGAATTTC